GTCAAAGACATGGGCTTGCTGGGCGCCGGGATTGAAACTTGAGATCATGAAGGCGGTGAAGGAGCACCTGAAGCTACCGCAGATGAAGCCGCTGAAGCCTGAGGAGATGGTGAAGTGGAAGCAACACTTCCTCAATTGACCACCTTCCAGCGAGACGGGATTGCAAAGCCTGTGTTCAGGCACAGGGCCGGGGGAGACCACATCAGAGGATCACCCACCCTGAGGCATTCACGTTGTCGGTGGACCTCTCCGGGAAGCTGAAGCAGGGGGTCGATCAACAGGGGAAGGTGGCCTACTTCCTTGTGGGGGTGTACACCTACCCGGTGGACATGACAGGGAGGTCGCTGCTCCGTGAAGAGGAGGAACAGCAACTACCTGCTGAAGAAGATCTTCTACCGGAGGTGGACGAAGCCATGCAACCGCTAGAGGCGGGTGAAGAAGAAGAGGTGGAAGCGGAAGGGAAGGAGAGGGAAAAGGATGAAGGAGACCTGGAAAAATGGAGGCAGCAGGTCGAGGAGGCGAAGAAGTTCAAGATTCGGAACTTGGTGTTTGCGGAGCCGGTGGAGGACCGCAAGGCGATGAACGTGCTGCCGGCTATAGCCCGGATCTATGCCAGGCTGAGGGCGTTGGGACTACCGGTGATGCGACTGCACTCGGATAGGGCACGGGAGCTGGTCTCAGCACAGATCCGGAAGTTTGCGGAGGAGCGAGGCATTTATAAGACGACGGTGCCGGGGGACAGCTACAAGGAAAACGGCCGAGCTGAGCAGGTCGTGGGGGCGTTGAAGAGGGCTACCAGAACGATCCTTTGCGCCTCAAAGGAGAAGGTGGAGCTGTGGCCTTTGGCACTGCGACATGCGGCTGAGAGAATGTTGAGGAGTCAGTTGAGGAGCTTAGGGTACCCGGCGAAGCCATTGTTGCCGTTTGCCGCGGTGGCCTACGTGAAGAAGAAGGCTTGGACCGACCGATACCAGGACTGGCGGTGGGATCGGGAGAAGGTGCAGGTGATGGGGCCAGACGCGGCGATGTCGCTCACTTCGGGGGGCTACTGGGTGAGGAGCTGTGGTGACGGGAGGTATTTCTCCACCACGGACGCAATTCCGGAGCCTGCGGAGGTGGAAATTGATGTGGAGGAAGCGGTGGAGTTGGAAGAGCGACAGGAGGCGGACTTACTGGCGCCGAGGAGAAGGAGACTGCGGGGAAAACAGGCAGTTTCGACGCTGCGTGTCGAGGGGGAGAATGAGGGATCCGGAGATGGCGGTTCTTTGGAACAGCTGCATGGGAACCTTACTACGTGGGTGGCGGAAGAGATGGAGATTTTGGATGGCGTGAGTGAAGGCCAAGAGTGGTGGTTGCCTGTGGTCAGGCAGGGCGTGCGAGAAAAGAACGAGCTGGAAGTGAAGCTCAGACAGGTGAAGGTAGAGGAAGTGGACCGCCTGGAGGAGGAATGGTGGGTCACAAAGACCGTTGGAATGCAGGAGGTGCGGTCGGAGCTGCAGGAGTGGGTTGCTCCAGCCAAAAAGGAGTACATCGCCATGACGGAGGAACTCAAGGCGGTGAGACCGGTAAAGAGGAAGGAGATTGACGAGCTGCCGGGGGTGGTGGAGTTTTTGCCGTCAAAGGCGGTCTGCACAAGAAAGGCCCCTGATGGAAGGAGGAAGGTCCGTGGGGTGGTGTGCGGCAACTTCGCCAGCAGTTCGGCGAACGAAGACACGTATGCGTCTGGAGCCGATGCCACTCAGATCAGAAGTCTGGCAAAGTTGGCGGCGATGAGAGGATGGTCGATGGCGGGCACGGACATCCGCACGGCGTTTCTCCACGCTCCGAGGAGGGATGACTCAAAGACGGTGGTCATGGAGGTCCCGGCGATCTTCAGAGAATGTGGACTCGCGGGCAAGGAGGAGGTCTGGATCATCGACAAGGCGGTTTATGGGCTGACCACGAGCCCGAAGGACTGGGGAGTGCATCGAGATAGCACTTTCAAGAAGATGGCATGGAGCGGAGAGGATGAGGAAGGCCTCAGATGGGAAATGAAGTTTGAGGTGACGCCGGAGCCGAACCTTTGGAGGATCATGGGAAGCAGAAAAGAAGGCAAGGAGACGGTGGAGAAGCACATGGGATTCATGTCGATCTATGTCGACGACGTGTTGATGACCGGGAAGAAGGAGGTCATCATTGCAGCGGTGGGTTGCATTGAGAAAGAGTGGGCGCTGTCGAGCTTGGAGTGGCCGTCAGCGGAGGAACCGTTGAGGTACTGCGGCTTTGAGGTGTGGGAGACCGCGGAGGGCTTCGACCTGAGGCAGTCTTCCTATGCCAAGGAGTTGGTAGAGAAGTGGGGTGTGCAGGAGAAGGTTGAGGTGCCGATGTTCAAAACGCCGGAGGAGGAAGAGGAGCCGGATCCCACGATGCTTCGGAGAGCACAAGCCATCACGGGAGGACTGCTATGGCTGGCGACGAAGACAAGGCCGGATCTGATGGCAGGGGTCGCTACGATGGCTAGGAACATGAAGAGCCCGAAGCAGGTTGTGGACGTCGGAATGGTGTTGCTGAAGTATGTGAACGCCACGATCGACGTGGGGCTCCAGTACACGAAGGTTTCTGGTTGGGGAGCCCGAGACCACTTGAGCGTAAAGCGGCATGACAAGCTGCTGGAGGTGTTCTCGGACATCAGCTATGGAACGGCGGGAGATCACAAGAGCGTGCAGGGGATCCTGGTCTACTTCGCGGGCTCGCCAATCGCCTGGGAGGCGACGAAGCAGCCGTTTGTGGCCCAGTCAACGGCGGAGGCAGAACTGATTGGTTACTGCGAGTCGCTGGTGGCGGGAAGGGCGACAGCCGCTTTGCTGGAGGTGATCCTGGGTGAGCAGCTCACCCAGAAGAGGATCTATGGGGACAACGTCGCGGCAATAGCCCTGGCGTCGAACGGGTCAGGTAGCTGGCGGACGAGGCACTTGAGGATCCGGGCGGCATCTTTGCGGTGGGCGCTGGAGGATGGCGGGTGGTCACTTACGCACCTGTCAGGAAAGCAGTTGGTGGCGGACGGCGTGACGAAATCGCTGAATGGCCAGGCCTTCGAGCGATTCAGGGAAGACCTGGGCATGCCGGTCGGGAAGAAGATGGTGAAGAAAGCCGGAGTGAACCAGAAGGAGCCGGAGATCGCGGCGAGCAGCTCATGCTTGGGGGTTAAGGCGAAGCTGTTGGCGGTGATTGGAGCCGACCTGGTGGGCAAGGCGATGGCGCACGGAGGTGGTTGGGAGGTCGACGAGGTGGACGTCTTGATCGCCACTGGGATCATCCTCATGGTGATTGGCGCCTTGTGGCTGGCGAAGGAAACCGCTGGAGCTGCGGGGGGATGTGTGAAAAGGCTGAGGAAAATCAAGGTGGAAGAAGTCCCGAGGAACTTCATTATGGTGGAACGTGAGGTTGATGAGCTCCATGATCAATGGGGCAGGACCTGGGTGGTGCTCGAAGAAGATGATTTGGGGTTTGAGCAGGAGCATCACGGGTCTACGATCAGGAAGGAGGAGAAGGGTCGTGCGGAGGCGTCTGGCTCCACAGCACGGAAGAGGTGCAACACCAGCTGGAACCAGTTCCAGCACGACAACAAGGGCAAGGGCATCACGATGACCCAGATGAGGAAGGCCTACTACAAGCAGAAGAGCGAGAAGGGCTTGGGCTTGTAGCTTTTGCAAGAGCCGGTAAATAACCCGGCCAAATAGATGGCACAATTTGTGCCAGGGGGAGCCCGTTGGGATTCGTATCCCGGAGCCCCGTTTTGCATCAAGCAGCCTGAGAGAAAAGGTTGCAGCCCCTGACAAGCCTGGAAAACAGATATGGTGTGTTCCTTTCCTCGCCGTTAACCTCTTGTTGGCTCAAAGGGCTGTGCTCACAACATTCGCCCACCAGTCGTTGAATGGAACGCACTGTGCAAGCAAAGAGGGCCTTTCGGGGGTGTCGCTCGATTCCTTTTTGCCAGGGCACCAGTTCCGCCTTAGAACATCACCCCGCCATGACCAAGCTCATCTGATTGTGGACCAAAAGATGACGTTGAAACGGGCATGTGTTTGTCAAAATAGGGAACCAATAGAAATGGGTGGTTTCCTTCGAATTTCCTCCTAACAAAGCCTAAAGAGGGTGCTCTGAAGAAAAACCATCAACCCCACATACATGGGCTAAAAACGGAAATAGAACGAGCCCCTGCTTACCCTGTTTGTGCTCACGAGGTGCTCTGGAAGTGAATCAGCATGGTATACTGGACATGTCTTGATGGTTGGTGGGTGGGAAGATTGGTAGTAGGTATCTTGGTAGGTAGGTACGTTGGTTAGTAGGCTGGTAGGTTGGTTGGTTGCTTGCGTGGTTGGTTGATTGGTTGCTTGCTTGGCTACCTTATTACGTTACTTGGTTGCTTGGTTGCTTAGTTGCTTGGTTGCTTGGTTGCTTGGTTGCTTGGTTGCTTGGTTGCTTGGTTGCTTGGTTGCTTGGTTGCTTGGTTGCTTGGTTGCTTGGTTGTTTGGTAGCTTGGTTGCTTGGTAGCTTGCTTGCCTGGTAGCTGGCTTGCTTGCTTGCCTGCCTGCCTGCTTGCTTGCTTGCTTGCTTGCTTGCTTGCTTGGTTGCTCGGCCGAACAGCCTTTCGACCGGTCGGTCCGATTGGTCGATCAGTTGGTGAGTCGCGTCAGTCTGTTGGTCGTCTGCACAGGTCTAGTCCTTTTGGTTCTTTCAAGACTCCCCCGCTACCCATAGCTGTGTTTTTTGGTACCCGCTGGAAATCATTTAGGTTGGATTTCTATGTCCAACCACTTGAAAGTTGCTCTTCCCTTCCCGATGGACGAAATCCTGCACCACCTAAGAAACCCTGGGATAACGATTGCCCTGTAAATACCAACAAACAATGGTTTCAACCATGGTTCTTAGGTGGTGCGAAATGGATTTCGTCCATCCACAGTACGAACCCAATGGTTGCATCTCCTACGATCTCTGGTTGCGGATGTCAAAACACCGAGGAAGTTGGCCTTCTGCGGCGCCTTCTTGGCTTTAGCGCTGCACGTCTTGCTGGCCGCCGTGCTGGGCGCCGTGCTGGAAGCTTTGAAATGGGTCGGTCTCCGATTTTTGCTTACAGAGCCATACCCATACCGGTGGGTATGCATCAAATTCAACCACCAGGAGCCCACAGGTTTTGGTTTCCATGTTTCCATTTACCGATCGGGTAACCGTGACATTTTGGGTTTATTCAATGTTTGGCAACCGTTTCCGCCCAGGTGTGGCCATCTCCCAGTTCTTCTCCATCCAGGCGCTCCAGGGTGGGCTGTGATATCTTCGCGAATCTCCCCCTTTTTCCATGGGGGTTTAGTGTGTAAGCCCTTCTGGTTGTATCACAGAAGGAAACGCCCCTTTAGTCTTTGGAATCTTTATATGGGGGTTTAGTCTTTGGACTCTCCCCCTTTAGTCTTCGGAAAATGCCCTTTGCGTTCTCGTCCCCAAGACGAAAGGTTTTGGTTGAGTCTTTCTTCGCCCTTCTTGTATCACAGTCGTTTCCACCGCCTGGGCTTTGGTTTGGATGAGGGGCAGGGATCAAGGATGAAGCCCAGTTCTTCGGCTGACCAATGGGATCTCATTTTGGGGTGAATTCACCACCCATTTTAGAACCATCGCTTTGGGATCAGGAGGATCCCTAGCCCTCCAAACCCCGGAAGTCATTTCCAGCCCTGGGCTTTGGTTTGGCGGTGGTCAAAACCAATGGGATCCCATTTTGGGGTTGAATTAATTCACCACCCATCTTACAACCCTGAAAAGTATTACCGGGTTTTTGACCTTTTGACCCATCGCTTTTTCCTTGGGGAAGCCCAGGGCGCACCGGTGGAGCCCGGCTCCGGCTGAGGCGCTCTGCTTCTCCACCGCCGCGGTCTTCTTCTTCTTGGCCTGCGCCTACTTCATCGAGCTGCTCACCGCGGAGTCCGACGACGTCATCGCCGAGAGGAGCGCGAGCCGCGTTGCGCTCCGTTTTTCGGAGCCTTGCTGGGGACGAGGAGAAGGCGCCTATAAAAACCATCCATTTGAAGAAATTTGAAGTTTTTTAGTGTTTGTTTGTTCTTCCTGCTGGTTTTGAAGGGAATCGATTTCACTGCTGGAAGTATTTGCTGATTTTTTCCAGGGGGCGAAGAAGCAACTAGAAGAAAAGGACCAGGACTTTGGCTGGTTACAGCTTTGAACCTCTTGGACAATCACGCGCCTTCCTTACCTAACATGCTGAAATGAAGTTTGGACCGCATGTTTCTTTTTCCCCCTACCCTTTGGAATCGGGCTCCTGGCTAGGATCTAGAGCTTCAAGTTTGAGGCGCCAAGAGTAATCCGATGTATTCGGGGTTCCCCTGCGCAGAAGGGGATGAGTTGTGTTTGCGCGTTTGCGGGTGCTTGAGATTTGGTTCTGAGTTGACCCAATGATCACAGATGGCCGAGCAGAGGAGAAATCATCCAACTGCAAAGCAAAAAAGCAAACGTAAGAGCGCCACACGCGCTGCGCTCGCCCGCGCGCAAGCAAGCACAAGCCCGCGCGTGCAGGGCCCAATTGACTCGGCATGGAACCAAGAAAAGCTTCATTTTTTCCCGAGGAATCCCCAAAAAACCTCCCCTAATGCAAAAAAAGAGCCGAAAAGGTTGGGAGTCCTTTTTCCAAGCTGCAATTCAACCAGGTCGCACCGGGAAAAAAACAATAATCATAAAAGCACAATATCTCCGGGTTGGCTCTGCGCACCGCCGGGTTTTTCCAGCCCCCTTCCCCACCAGCCACCCCACCCCACCCCACCCCACCTCCGCTTCGCTGAACGCGGCGAGGAGCTCGGAGGCCAAAGAGACCCTGGGGGAGAAGAAGGACAGCGACTGGAAAGACGCCCCTTCGGCTCCAAAAAGCAAATGCGAAAAGGTTTGGCCGTTGCCAGGGGCGCGTTCGGCCGGAGAAAATCCGACTCGAAACCGAAGAGGTGCTTTTTGCGTTTTTACCCAACAAAAACCCTCTGGGGTTGGGTTCTCGTTTAGTTGTCTAACCGCGAGGGAGCGAGGATCGGCAGGGGTTCGGCCTGAAGTGTACCATGTTTGCAGCATGCCGTGTAAACGCCACTGGCCGGGAAATGGCCGAACGGGCGGCCTGCCGGCTGAATTGCCATCCAGCGCCGAGGTGACGGGAGGTGCTGGAGTCCGTGTGCCGGTGGGAGTTGGCTCCAGGAAAGCAGCGAGAACGAGCTGGGGTCAGCCGTATGCCGGTGGGATTTGGCTTGGCGGAGGCGGCAAGGATGGAGGTGACGGCGCGTGTGCCGGTGGGATTTGCGTCTGCGGATGCTACCAGCGCCGAGGTGACGGGAGGTGCTGGGGGCCGCGCCGGTGGGATTTGGTTCACAGAGGAGCAGCGACAACGAGGTGCGAGCTGGGGTCAGCCGTGTGCCGCTGGGATTTGGCTTGGCGGAGGCGGCAAGGATGGAGGTGACGGCGGCGTGTGCCGGTGGATTGCTTCTGCGGATGCAGCCAGCGCCGAGGTGCTGGAGGCCGCGTGCCAGTAGGATTTGGTCGGTGGGATTTGGCTTGGCGGAGGCGGCAAGGATGGAGGTGACGGCGGCTGGTGGGATTTGCTTCTACCAGCGCCGAGGTGACGAGAGGTGCTGGAGGCAGCGTGCCGGTGGGCTTTGGTCCACAGAGGCGCAGCGATAACGAGGCGCGGTCGTTCGTGCGCCGGTGGGAGTTGGCTCCAGGAAAGCAGCGAGAATGAGCTGAGGTCATCCGTGCGCCGGTGGGATTTGGCTTGGCGGAGGCGGACCATCCAACGCTGGCAAGGTCGGGCAAGCCTGTTCGCGCCGCGCGCACCTTTCGATGTGCCCATATTACATGGAAAGGCGCGAGCAGGCCGCCGTCCCCTCTGAACCACCTTATATCCCAAAAACGGCAAGAAGCTCCGAGAAAACGTGACAAACCATGGCTTGTTGCAACGATGTAGTTTCGACTGTCCTGGATTCGCATTTCTCTTGCTCTGGTCCGATGCTTGCAGCTCAGTGCAAGGCTGCCACCTAAGAGCTTTTGCTGCTTGCAAAGACCCAATTGTCCGTGGAGCCCTCCAAGGGGCCATAGCAAAAATGCATAATCCACGCAGCAGCAATGGTGCTTGTGTCGCCGACGAGCTCCTGCCTGCAAACTGCTTGGGCAAGCAGTTCGCTGACAGTCATTCACAAATATTTTTTCGCATCTTGGTTTTTGGGTTTCCCGGCTCTCCTTGTTTCTTCTCTCTTTTTTTAAACGGACGCTGTTCAAAAATCCAGCGGCTTTTTTTTTCTGAAGCTGTTCAAAAATCCAGGGCGTTTGGATTTTTCGAAAATCCAGCTCGAAACCAAAACCCCCGCCAAAAAAGGGGTTTTGTACTGAATCCAACTGTAAACCGAAGGTTGTTTTTCAACCAGATGTTTGTTTCTTTTGGTTTTGAATGTGGGATTTCTCGTTGTTTTCATTGGCCTTCCATCGGTTCCCTTTCAGATTTCTTTAGTCTTTGTAGCTCAGTTTTGCCGAATTTTTCCTGCGCCGCACCGGGGACTTTGAGCTTCGGACCCGCGGAGCCAATCGGTTTCGGATCCGCATCCAAACCGGCCGCCTCACGCGTCAGACTCGGTGTGTACACATGCATCCATCCATCCATCCATCCATACCAACCAAGCAACATACCATGGTTGTCGTTGGGCAGTTTACATGTTTGCTTATTGTGGTTTAGTAGGAAATCCCCACTTACCTGCTAAAAATTAAATTTTTGCTCCCCTTCCAAGCAAGCAACAGACAGATGAACAGACACATTACATGCATGCATGCCGACACAGACACAAACATGTACATCACATTGCATTCCGTTCGTTGCATTACATTATATAAGTTATATCACTTTACATTACATCACACACACTGCATACATGACAAACATTACATACATTGCATACATCACATAGTGTCACATACATTACATACATGACAAATATTACATACATTACACAGATTACAGTACATTACATACATCACATACATTACAAACATTGCAGTACATTACATACATCACATACATTACATTACATACACTACATACGTTGCACGCATTGCATGAATTACATACATTACATGCATGCTTGCATGAATATATACAGGTATGTACGTACATGCATACACACATACACACATACACACATACACGCATACACACATACACACGGACACACGTACGCACGTACGCACGTACGCACGTACACACATACACAGATACGCACATACACACATACACACATACACACATACACACATACACACATACACACAAATACACACACATACACACACAAATGCACACACATACACACACACATACGCACACACATACACACACATACACACACACACATACGCACACATACGCACACATACACACACATACACACACATACACACACATACACGCACATACACACATACACATACACACTCGACGAGCGAGGCAAGGAAAGCCTGTAGTGTCCCATTTGTTTGCCAGCGGAACTTCCGTACTTCACATCAAGCGGCGTGGCCCAACATGTGAAACAAACGCCCTATTTGCGGCGTCCTGTTTGTTAATCTGTGGATGCCCTCTGCACCATCGGGTCGGTGCTGGGCGAGCTGTCCGCGTGCCAGGCCTGGTGTCGTGTGGAGTCGCTGACGTCGAAAAAGGCAACCACGACGTGGTCCCCAGCATATACCACATGGCAAGGCAATCCTTTTTTACGCCGGTGTGCGGAGGTGTGAAAGGGAAACGAAGAAAAGCACCCTTGGCTGCAAAGGTTTTAAGGGAAAACCAAGGGGCACCATCCTTTGTGCCACGGGCTAAGTTGAGGGCTTGAGGGTGTTTGTGGGGAAACCCTTCTATTTTTTCGGAAAGCGGGCAGCACATGTTGAAGGTTGCTGTCAGGATGCATAGGCCCGGTGAAGGTTGAATTGTTTGCTTGCGAATATCGGGCCTCATCTGCGTTGAACACCGAAAGAAACCACAAGGAAACCCTGCGAAACGATCTTTCCTTTAATAGGGGGTATAGGGGGCTCCAAAGGGAGGCCGCAAGGAGCCCACTTCAACCTTTCCTGTTCTGGGGAAGTCATTTTCGGGGAGTCCGTGAAGACATGCCAGACCAAGAAAGTTCAAAAGTCTTCGGCGCCCTTGTCCTCGAGTAGGCTTGATAGTGGACAGTCGCACACGGTTCCTTGTAAACCGCGCAACGGCCGACATTGTCTCTTGCTTATGATGGGCGCGGGTGTGTCAGGGCTAGTCTTTTTACGCTACGCCTTGTGGCTGCCGGATGGCAGGTGACTGCGAGAGGGATGTTGCTCGTGGATGAGCTCACCGAAGCTGGCGCGCTTGTGATCTCAGAGTTTGTGGCTGGCCGGGTGAAGCGGGATCTCTTTTGAAACATGCGCATTTGGCGCCAGTGTGCGCCAGTGCTGATGACTTGTAACGTAACCAGCGCACAAATCCGGAGCGTCCCAGACCTGGACAAGCTCGCCGATGGGTAAAACGAGGAGTCCTGCTCAGGGATCTCTTTGTGCAGGTTGTTTCGGACGTTTGTAGAATTTTCAGATTTTTTGCAGAATATTGTGGCAAACGGCTCTGAACATCTCTTTATATCTCTCTCAAGTTTTCCCTCCGAAAAAGCCAAGTCTTTAAGCATCCCCGCTCCAATCAATTCTGTTTGAGAATGCGGTTGCCGTTTCGGCTCTTGGGCGGGTTGCTTTCTTGGCTCGGCGCGGGGCACCCTGCCTATTAAAATAACAAAAGGTCCCCCCCCCACGTCCAAGAAAACAAAATTTCTCCCCCCACGTCCAGACGTTTAAGGGGGTGGTGATATTTCAGCACATTGCTACGTTCATTACATTGCTTTGCATTTCGTTAAACATTATGTTACATTACAGTACATCAACTCATGCAGTATGTTCCCCCCCACATCGCATTACAGTACTTTGCATTGCAACGCAGTACACGCATATACACACACACACGCGCGCACACATCCACACATAGACGCACATAAGGACACACACGCGCACATGCACACATGCAGCACATGTGCAGCACACATGTAGCACACACGCACAACACATGCAGACATGTGCGCATGAGTTCCATTCAAGCCCCCCATGTAAAGGATTAGAATTGCAGCGACCCAGGTTTATGACACACGCGGGGAAATGAAGACCGCCCCGCACCTGAGTCAACTTGGTAGCGCGGAACCTGCCAGTAACAAAAAAGTGGGAGTGCCATCAGTGACATCTGAAACGCCATCCCGGAGAGGCGCTTGTTGTTGCGTACTTCATCCTGGTCTGCGTTGGCGCTGCAAAATCTGGCCGCGAGCCTTTACTAGAGAAGCGCGTGTTTGAATTCTGCTGCTGCGTTCAGTCCAAGCTTCTTGGATGTACAGGTTTGTTGACTGGAAGCCGCAAATACTTCCTGCTGGTCGCCCTTTTCGACAAACTCATCTCAGCTTAGGCAGTCGGAGAATTTGCGCAGTTGCAGCTGAGGCAGCCGAAAGCAAACATGCGTCAAGCCTTGTGCTTCTTTGCCAGAAGCGCGGCGGCACTCATCCCACTCTAGGGACGCTGAAACACTGGCAGACAGGCTTACAATCGCGCTGCCCAGCTCACACTTCTTAGTGGCCAGAACAGATCGAGAGTGTGCCAAAATCTTGCAAGCCTTCACACATGAGTAGCAACACGTGCCTCAGCCTTGTGCCAGCCCACCAGGTTCCCACAATGAGGCTAATCGCTCCTCGCCAAGTTGGATCCTCTGACGCCTCCGCATGCCAGCGGTTCGGCAGCCCCTGTTTGACGCAAGCGCGTTTTTGTCGCAACGGTGCTGAGCGATTTGATGTGCAAAAAACGTTTCTTGGGGAAAACCCGTCCTTTGGGCGTTGACAGGCTAAAATCCCGGCTCTTCAGGGGAAGACCCGGCTTCTCTTGCAAAACCAGCCTTCCGGTCTTGAATATCAGGTTTGCAAATGGAGAGTTGTCATTGTTATTAGCATTTAAAGATGTGTAGGCCCCCCTCGTGAACACCGCTTGTGCTTGCTTTAATGAGCCCCAGGGATTTGGGTGACAAGATTCCAGAGCAGGTCAGATGGCTGCAAAGGCGCTTGGTGCTGTCAAAAATGCAGATTCTCCGTGCAGAGCTACACGCTGGCAGATGCTTGGCTGCGGGGGCGAGCGCAGCGAGAAGCCAGACAATGAGGAGCGCAAGAAGCAGGACAAAAGCAGCAAGGACGCCAAGAAAAAGAAGGTGAAGAAGTCAAAGAAAGCGCTCACCTCGTCGGCGTCGGCGTCCTCCAAGTTCGGCCCCAAAAAAGGCAAGGCCGCGGCCACGCAGAAAGCGGCCTTTGAAGACTGGCAGCGGTCTGAAGTGCAGTTGTTCCAGGCGGAGTGGAAGGAGTTCGCGCGAGCGGCCGCGAAGAAACGGGCAACGGAGGCTGACTGCAAAGCTTCCCGAGAAGATCCTGGCCACCTTCGGGCTGCGGCGGAAGTCGTTGCCAGGGGAAATCTTATCCTACGTGGAGGACGTTGGGGAAGTGCTCTCCAAGGCAGCGGCTCATTGCCACACTGCGCAGTGAGGCCGCAACGTGTCGGGCGCGGGGTAAGGCTTATCCACCTGTAGACACTGTCCCGGGACCCACAGCACTCATGGAAGTGGTTAGAGGTGGGTGTTGCTTGCACTCCCGGGGAGCTGCTGCGCAGATAGCTCATCGCCCGATCGCCCGGACCACTGTGTGGAACATACGTCAAGACGTGCTGGATAAGCGCAAAGTTTGGCAGCCGGGTGACGGCTGGGAAGGCAAGCTCAACAGACAAGCAGAAGCCCTCTTACACACCGCCTGGAGACCTACACCAATGCTGTTCTGTGACGCAGGGCTGCTGGCCCAGCGGATAGCCTTGCTTTGCGCAGGCAACCAGCGTGCGGCGCTCACCGAGTTTCGCTGGCGTCGGCTCCAAGCTTGCAACTGGTTTGATTTGTTTGGGACGTCTTGCAATCTTCCGTGGTGATGTGCGGAGAGTCAGACGACGTTGCAGATCCCTTTCAGCTCTACGCCTGCCGGAACAACAGTGCTCCGAAAAGTCGTTTTGGATATCGCGTCTCCTGTCTGGCTTCGACAGCAACGAGCCTACCTGCCTGCCTGCCTACCCACCTGCCTATCCACCTACACACACACACACCCACGCGCATACATACACGCATACACACATGCATACACACATGCATGCAAACATACAGACATATATATGCACACATACACAAACACATGTCCATATAGATACACGGTTCTATACGTAAACTATTTACGATGGATTGCTCTAAGATACAAGATGCAAGATATGCACAGGCAAACACACACTCACATCTATGTATACATGTCGTAGCATATATTCTTACATGGTAGAAAACATTTTCCCATCGCTGGCTCGTGCCAAGGGCACTTTCGAAACCGCGCTCCCGCAACGACCTTGGACACCCGAGGTCTTTTGGCGAGTCTTCCTTGCCGTATTCATTGCTGAGTGGGGTGACCGCACACAGGCGAATGCTGCATCAGACATGCTCCGGAACATTTCTTTTCATGAATGTAAAGGGTCTCCACTCCACATCGATGAAAGTGGGTCCCTTGCTACACATATCCCATGCGAACCTTGAAAGGAGACCCAATCATCCTAAGACTTCGACATCAAAAGCTCGAAGGTTTCTCTTGCAAGCTGCCCTTTTGGCCTTTTAGCCCAGGCCCCAAAAGGTTGACCTGCTATTTCCATGGTCTCAAAATAGGGGACCCTTCTTGGAGGGCTTGGAACCCTTGCTCGCCCTTTTCGGGCACCGAGAGGAATCAGTTGGGCCGGGCATCGCCAGCGGGGACGGCCATCGAATGGACGGCAGGTGGCGATGATCACCTTGCACAGCTCCGCGCCGTGGTTGGCAGTCTGCCGCTCGAAGAGACTTTCAGATCAGGTGCCATTCGCGGGGGACAGGGGGGGGGGGTGTTTCTCGATGGGTTTCCCTTTCGGTTTCCCTTTTGGTTTCCTTTGTTTCGACTGGTGGTTGTCAAAGTGAGTACCTGCGTGTTTTCCCCGCCCTGGAACGCTCCGGAACCCTCTGGATCTGAACCGCTGGGGGGCGTTGGTTTTGAGTTTTTTTTGGTTTAGGCTGCAACCGCAAAACAGACCACCGTTGTGCCAGTTTGGTTCACTTCCTGCGTTCCTGGACTTTAGTCACTTGTGGGGTTTGGACATTCTAGTGGCAAACAACAAGTTTTCAACCTGTTTTAGGCCAATCTACTCAGAACGTGCGTGTTCGAGGGTCCTATTGAATTGGTACCCTATTCTCTTCTGGCTTGTAGGAACCACCAAAAGGAGCACCCGCCATTTTGGAGTGTGCCTCAAAAAAAGGCGACACTCCTATATGTGATGCCTGTTGAGTTGGTACCTGTTCTTGTGAACCACCAAAAAGAAAGCCCACCATTCTGGAGGCTCCAACGTCAAGCAACTTCCGCACACCTCATACCAGTTTTTTCATGTTTTCTCCCATGTCGTGTTGTCCCGTCCAACAGCGACCAAAAACAGGGGTCGGGGACCCAAAACAACCACACAGTCCTATATGTTATATCCCCTAAACTTCTTGGGTCGCAGTGCTCCAAAAGCGACCGGGCGGCCGACGGCTCGGAGGCTCGGACCGGGGACCGGACTCCGAGGCTTGGGCTCGGTCTTGGCCTTCCTGGTGCTCACCTTGAGCGCGGTCTGCGCCGCCTCCCTGGTGCAGCACGCCAAGCTCAGCGCCGCGCTCGGTTTCGCGTTTTTGTTTTTTTCTTCGTTTCTTCCCCGCGCGGAGTTGAAGATAAACGTGGGAGAAGAAACCAGGGGTTGACGCCCCCAAAGGGGGAACCCCTGTTTTTTTCTCCTTCTCTTGTTTTTTTTTTTTTTTTGGGGGGGGGCGGGGGACTGGGATTCTTCGGGTAATTTTTCCTTTCTTGGGGGGGTCATATACTTACCATCCGGTTTGGGGACCGAAATTACATGGTCCCACTGGTTCCTCCATTTGGGAGCTGATCAGAAGGTTCTTTACATGGAATGACCATCTGGGGAACCAAGAGATGGCTTCTGTCACTAAATGGGGGACAGTTTCCCATTGTTTACCTAAGGATTGAAGTTGGGTCAACCATTCTGGGGGTTGAACCGCAGGGGAGAGGGTGTTTACGCCAGGGTCTCCGAGCCGTCTTCCCTTCTTGGAACCTTGAAAAGTGGCGGCTGAATTTTCCATGGGCAACTTTGGAGTGACCGCTGTTCTTTGCCCATTGAAGCAATCCTTGGGTTAAGACCGGGGTCGTGATTTGGCTTATTTGTTGGGGGTCAATCCAGTTAGCCTACCACTTAGGGGGTGGGTACAATAATGAACCCACAAGAAAGTGAAAGAAACCGGCAGGAATTTCTACAAATGGGCCAAAGGGCAGCCAAGAGCAAGGATTCCCAGAATAATTTCCTGTAGCTTTCGTTCAGGGGTCTGGGTCTAAAATCAATCCACCAGGATATGGGCCGCAGGTTTTCAGTTCTTGTTTCCATTTACCGATCTGGCAACCCTTGTTGGGGGTACCCGAAGTTATGACCCACACCCACAAAACTGGCCTCATTAGTTTACCATGATCAAAGTCACCCCCCAAGTGGTGGGTTAAAGGGAAACAACCGAATCCGTTTTCTGACTTTGACAACCCCCAGAAACAGAACCAACATAATGACCCCAGCATGACCCACACTTATAAAATCAGCATTTTTTTTTCACAATGAGCAGCTTTGGGCACTCTTCCCATTGGCGTCGAACTCTCGGCTGTGCCTCCCGACAGCTCCCTTGTTCCTTGTTGCGGTGCAACAGAGGGGGGGGCGGGGAGGGGAAGGAACGGTGCAAGGGCCCAGGGGGGTGGGGGGGGGGGGAGGGGAAGGAACGGTGTGAAAGGGAAATCAAACCCTGAGATACTTCTGAAGACTTGCCAGTCCGATCCTGCGGAAGTAAAAATCCAATCACGCGAGTTTCTCAAAACGTGCAACACCCATCTTAGTCGGGACTTCAAGAGAACCAAAAAGGAAACCCAGCATTTTCGGGGGAACCCCCCCCCTTGCGAAAAAAAAGCGGTTTCCCGCTTTGGCTTCCCTTGAAAGCTGCCCCGTGCTCGGTTCACTTCGCCTCAACAAAAACAAAACAAAACCGCGCCTCGTGTCTCTCACGAGGCGAGCGCTTTGTGCTGGCGGTGAGCGCGGGTTCCTTTCTGCTCTTCGCGGTGCTGGCGCTGCGGGACGGCTTCGCGGCGGCCAAGTTCCGCTGAGGCGAGCGCGGCGTCGCTGGCGGAAGGGCGGGGGGGAGTGCGGCGGACGATTTGGTGTCCAGGCGATCGCGGCGTTTTTGCGGCGGTTGGGAAGGGGGGGAAAGGTGTCCTCTTTTTGGTTGATTTGGTCGAAAAATCAACTACCAGGGCCATCTATGTTCCCAAGAAGGACACCTATGTGCTGGACGAGTTTGTGTGTATTTCCAGTCACTTCCAACAACTGTTCTTTGCACCCCCAAAACAAAATTGTGGTTTTCCTTTGGGTTTCCCCTTTCAACCCAACCAAAAAGAGGCAGAGACCGCCCTGTTTTGGTCAGAGGTCTGCAAAATGAAGCCGTGTCAACAGGGTCCACAGCCACCCAGCTTGGGTTGAGACCAACTTCCACTGTGGAGTTTCCCACGAGCAATGTGGGCATGGGGTCAAAATCCAAAAGCCCGTACCCCTAGTGAACATCCCAATCCAACCACTAAAATACACCAAAATGGTGGTATATTGACTATAAATAAGCTTATAATATTATTTTACATGCACTTACCCCCAAAATGGTACCATTGGTATTGACCTACAACCATGTGACTTCGTGAAAAGGAAGCCGACCCGGCAGGGTTCAGGCAGGCCACCATGAAAGCATTGGTTGGGGGGTTCATGTAGCCATGGTTCAAAACCAATGGGATCCCATTTTGGGATGGGTGCAACACCCATTTTAGAACCTATTTTAGTTGTTGGATTGGGATGTTCACTGGGGGTACGGGGTTTTGACCCACAGCCATACAACCATCATTATTTACCTAGGGATTGGCATCCAAATTGGGTCCCAGGGCCATTCTTGGAGGAGAGGTGGTTTCCTCCATTTCCCGTTGAACCTCCCAGGGCACCGGAGACCCGCTTTGGGTGGTATTTGCATGCGGTTCCTTGGCTTCTTAGCTGTTCTTTTGTGGGGTGTGTCCGGTCGTTTCAACATATTTCACCCACCCAATGTTATTCACTTCTTAGCCAGGGATCTGAAAACGGGTAGCCCTGTAAGACAATAGTGGTTGATCCAATAGCTCTTGAGCATACCTTTTCAGCATACCCCAAGCCATTGCAAGTTCTTGGATTTGAACATGTTTAAACAAGAGGTTGGCCCCCTGTTGTTCTGCCCAGAATTTCTCAGCCTCAAAGTGTCGGCTTCAAGAAGCCGTGCTTCTTTGCCGCATGTGAGTTCTCCACTTGAGATGGGTGCTTTCTTTTTGATTTCCCTAAACGACATCCAAGTAAGTTGTGGGCCTTCAAAGACACGGCACGGCCGAAATGGGGTGATGGCTGCCATCGTCCAAACCCGGCCGGCGTTCTCGGCGGCAGGCTGGAGACTCTGAGATTTGGAATGCGCGACGGCGCGCCAGCGTTTTGTTTGGAATTCATGAGGGGCATCAACTGAAAAAAAAAAAAAACGACCCTAGGCGGATTGAAACACAACAATCTCTTGCACCCGGAAGGGACATCACCGAAGCGGCGTTGCTCACTTGCCGCGTCCGCCAATCGAATCGAAAGGGGCGCGACTCCAGCTTCAGCGAGTTTCGGGGTGACGTGGCCCCGCCAAACGAAGAGTGGAGAGGGATCCATTGCACTGCAAAGTCAGTAGAGCCTCACCCACAGTATCCGATGGGTGTCATTGCAAAGCCGTGGTAAAAAGAATCACAGATCCCCCCCCCTCCCCCTTCCCTGCCCGCCCCGCACAGTGCGGGCCGGCACTGGAGTGCGTGAGCGAAGCGCGCGTCTCGCGCGAGCTTTCGTTGGCGAGGAGCGAAAAGGCGTGCTGGGGCCATGTCAGTTTCTGGGGATATCATTTTTTCAAGGTAGGTTTTTTTGGGGGTTGCTTCGAGAGACCAAAGCAAACCACTGGCTTGGGGTGTTGGAGACAAACGGGTACAAACGAGCTATGGGCTTGGGTTCCAGCATTTCAATCTGAGCCAAACCAAAAAACTCCGAATTTTGACACACTTAGCTGGTCTGGGAGTTCGCCGAGTGGGTTTGGTGTAACCCACTTAAGGCTGCTATAGGGTTACTCACCATTGGGCTAACTCCCAGACCGTCTCAGCATATCTCGTCTCAGCAACATCTTTTCTTTCTGAATGTTTTTCTGTGCCGGGTGGCACCAACCAGGCGGTTTGGAAGCGCCTGGGAAAGGCCCCGATTTCGGGGAACCGCTGGGCGAATCGTCCGGCCCCTTGTTTTTTTTTAGTTGGCTTGCAGCGGGTTTCTTGGGTGGGGTTTCCGTATTTCACCCCCGAACCGTGATTCACATCTAACAGGGGATCTGAGGATCAGACTTGATTTGGTAGGGAAACCGCGAGGAAGCCTTTGGTGCATTTTGCTTGGATGTTAGGACTTTAGCTTTTTGCCAACTAACGGGTTTTCCATTAAACCGCCAAAAGTTAAACTCTTAGCAGGGCTTCGCAGATTTCGCAACCGGGTACCGATTCCGATCTGGAGAAACACACCTTCGACGCCTTTCGCGGCTCAAGCTGAGGCGGGAGGCGAATGAGTGAGCTCGGCCCAGCTCCCAGTCGAGAGAGCTCGGAGCCAGCCCCTTCAAAATGGAATTGGGGGAGGGGATTTCGACCCCTGAAGTTCCATTTGGGGTGAGCCATTTTCCCTTTTGTGGTGAAGACTGAATAAATGGAATTGCGGGACCCCCCACGGGATGTTTTTGCTTTTGGCTGCCACAATGCTAAGCCGCTTGCTAAGCCGCTTGCTAAGCCGCTTGCTAAGCCGCTTGCTAAGCTGCTGGCTTGGTATCAGCTTGGCATCAGCTTAGTAGATGGGTGTGTCATTTTTGAGGTGACCCCCGCAAATGGTGGGTTCCTCTTGGTTTCTTTTCAAGACCGCACGAAAGGTCTACCCTAACAAAGAGACACCTCTCATCTGCCTTCGCAAGCGTAAGATGCTCGTTGCGGGTCCCCGATGAACCTTCACTCTTGCGCGGGCACCTTGAATGGTTTAGTTCCCAGGGTCGATCTTGGCGGAGAATGGTTTTTGGCGGAGCAAAGTTGTGGCGAGAGAGAGGACCCAGCTTTGTTTCGACATGGATCCCGCGAGCGGATTCTAGAAGCGGTTGTGCCACAGCAGCCTCGCTGGTCGACGGCATTGATAGTCATGCTGAAAAAGCGAACAACTGAGGTCCTTTCTTTGGTGCATTTTGCGTGGATGTTAGGACTTGAACTTTTTGCCAACTACTGGGTTTTCCATTAAACCGCCAAAGGTCAAACTTCTAGCAGGGGAGCAGAAAGCAACTGAGCTTTTTCGGCATGGTTGCCTCAGTCAGTTTTGGCCCTGCACCCCCAACAGCTGACCTTTTGGCCCTAAGCTTGCAATGGCTTCAAGCATGCAACTGCTGGGCAGCTCGGACTCGTATCTCCGTCTTCCGTCTGGTTGGGGTATCCTTTCTTTGGGGTGCCTTCAAAGGAAAGCCAGCAGGAATCCAACCATTTGAGCGCCAAAAGCCTTCTGATCAGCTGATTGTTGAGAGCGGATCAAGAAGTTGGAAGAACGGCGTGCCTGGGATTCCCATTGTCTTACTGGTGCGATAGGAAATCACCCGTTCGTTCGGGGTTTTGGGAATGAGTTTTGGGGATTCCCGAATGAAGGAAATCATGTTTTTGTTGGTTTGTGGGGGTCATTCCAACTCATTCCCTACCTATCGCACCAGCAAGTTGTTTGACCGGCTTCGGTCGACAAAAGCATCCGGCTTCGAAGCTTCCTTCCAGGGAATATCCGTACATGCGCAAGAAAGAGAAAAGTCTATAGTACCACCTCGCCCCCCCCCCCCAGAAAGAAATAGGAAAAAGAGAAAGAACAAGAAACACATTCTGGGTGTGCGTCACACTGGATTCGGTCAGGATGCGTTCAAAGCGGAGCACCAAGAAAATGCGCTGAGTGGCGTCTCTCGCCAGGTGACGCGGTGAGCTCTGTAGACTAGGGCCGTTACAGCAAAGGCCAGAGAGCTTTCCTGTCGATTCGTTATAAGCTATGACTAAGAGGGTTGTGACCTCTGGGCTCCGCTCCAAAACTCATATGGCTGTGGGTCGAAACCAACGGTAGCATTTTGGGCTAGGTGAATTCACCACCCGTTTTAGAACCTATTTTAGTGGTTGGATTGGGAGGTTCACTGGGGGTACGATGGATCCATTTGAGGCTCACAAGGGGATGCCTTTTCTGGGATCCCAGAATACACTTCGGAAAGGATTTTTCGTTCACGGAGCACCGGGTCTCCTTCTTGGCCTTTGCAACTCCCAAAAAAACATAGATAACTAGAGGTTTTACTTTTGGTTTCCCTAAAACAAAAACATATTTGGCACCCTGTGGTAGAGCAATCCCAAGCCGCTTCTCGAGGATTGCGATCATCTTGGTTTCCACACCTGGTCGCCGCTTCCAAGATCCCTCAAGATTGTTCGTTCTTGCTCGAAATCAATCTGGACGAGTTTGTTTCCCCAATCTGGACTAGTTTGTTTCCGCATCCAGTGTGTTTTCCCCAATCTGGACTAGTTTGGTTTCCCTTCAAAACACCAAAACAATTTGGGTGAATCCTGCGGTCTCTCTCTCGGGCCTTTGCTTCGTGGCCCAGGGGGGCATCGCAATGCAAGGCAGCAAGGTCGGAACGCATCTGCTCAGAGCAGCGCCCAGAAAAATGGCCATTCTTGGGGCCATTTTAGTAGGTCCGACTTGGGTTTGAGAGGGATTATGTAGCAGAAAGTCAATAGTTGTTTGCTTGTGTTTTGTTTTCTTACTAGAGCCAAAGGTCAATGAGTTCTGGTCGCTGCTTGCATGATACAGATGAAGGTGGTGCCCCACCTTGAGTGGAATCTCCCACAAAGGTCAATACTTAGCAAACTATGATGCACCGCCACCCGTAGTGAAGGTTCGTTTCATATGGCCCATTTCGTTGTTTTTTTTTCTTTCTGGCGGGCGAAATGTTCCAAACTTTTCGCGTCTAAAGGGGAGGGCATGGGCCGACATAAGTAGCGAATCTTGTCAGCAGAGTCTGCATAGCCTTGTATGCCCAATTCTGGGGAAAACGGCATTTCCAAGCTCCTTGACCGTGGCCATTGAAATCTTCGCGGATTTGGGGCCCCACTTCAGCCAAAGGATGGGATTACATGCGGACCCTGATGTTGGGGGGTCCCTTTAAAGGAGAATGGTCCAAGCCACACCCCGAAACGTCGAACACTTCCACGTGAAAACGGCGGGAGGCTACATCCTCTGAAGCAGTTTACAGCTCCTTCGCCGGGTGGTCTTCAAACAGGTGGTAGGGCAAGAGTCCACGTGCCACGTGACCGCCGTTAGTTTCGGGGGAAGCACGCGGCACTATTTTGGTGGCTCACACAGCACTGGGTAATTAAGGTTCGACTAATTTTCCTTTTCATGGAACTTGTTAGAGGAAGCTGCAAGGAGCTGGAAAGGTTCGGGAGTTAAGGGAGTATGTGAAGTGTAAAGTTTCGATTGATAGTCCCCGCATTAGCTTGATTGCTATTGGGTTGGATCTTTCGACTAGCTTTTCGGGAAATCAAGTTGGTTTTTCCGTATTGAACCCACAAGTTGAACACATGTTTGCAGAGGGGTCCTTCCAGCAAGCAATCACAAGGAATCGTTGGGGAGCAAAAAGTGCAAACTGCCCTTGCTGAGTGCCGACTGCATTGCGCACTACCGGCCTGCCCGGTAGGAAAGAGAGCGGTTGGCTTGCGAACTCGCGCGTGGAGTCCATGGGTTGTCACAGGCACAAACCAAAGATCCCTCCCTTGCTGTTGAAGGGCATACTTGGCGTTGCATGTGGCCTTTTTGTTATTATTGCCTTTGGCTTATTTGGCCCATGTGTTGTTTTTGTTTTTGGCCTGTTTGGCCTATGATTTGCCGTGTCAAGCCCATGTTTGCTGTGTGTTGCAGAAAAGGCTTGCACATTTGCCTGCCGTGATACTGCTTGAAGGAGTCTGTGAAATTGCTTTGTTTCTGCTCTTGCTCTTTTGCTTTGTCCCAGCAACCGGAATCATGCGTTTGTGGTTGAATCTTTGGCATAACTGCGATGCTTTGTTTTTTGCTCTTCCGTCAATATTTTGGTAGGGAGTTTCAGCACTTGCCGGTACGAATATCCTTTGTGGCATGGATGAAGATGCAGACATTCTTCTGGCGAAGCGTCTGAATGAGCGCTTGTGTTCACCTTCGGCCGGTCGAATACGACTACTGGATCTTTCTTCTTGGGGTCCGTGTCTTGGGAGCAAAGGGCTTGTTTTTTTCTCTTTTTTCGGCGAGCTCAAGTTGGACCCAAACGCTTGTGTTCTATGTGCCACAAGCGCATCGACTCAACAGCTGCCAATCGACCCCAAAAGCCATCCTCTTTTGTTTGTTTCTTTCCCAGGTTTCGCGGTGACAAGGTTCAGGCAGCT